TTTTGTTCTTATCATTCTTTAATTCGTTAAATTCAGCAAATATGTACTGAAGCTGCATGAGGCCCTGGGACCAGTGACTCAAACCAAGACTGCCTGACGCCAGGGCCCAGGGGTCATAATATACCTGCTGCTCTTTGGGACTATGGGTACTAGTAGGGGCAGAATTATACTTCTTGCCTCACTTTCTTATTTTGCTTTAGAGTCAATATGTGAATTAACTAAAAGAGGCAGAACCTCTCTCTTCTCCAGTGGCAAACTTAGGGACCACAAGTTTAACATAAGTGTCTCAACCCAGAAGGAACCTGGACCCTCAAGTCACCACTTAGAGAACCATCAAGGAGAGCAGTTCTACCTGTGTATATTGTGATGTGAGTGAGAAATAAACCACTGTTGTACTAAATCCACTTTTAAATAAAAAAAACAAGGCAGAGCCTAATGGTTAAGAAGCTCAGTTTTTGCTTCCTGCATTTAGTAGTAATGAACTCCAGTTATTAGGTGCAAGATTTTTTTTTTTTTTTTTAATGTGGAGTTTCACTCTTGTTACCCAGGCTGGAGTGCAATGGCGCAATCTCGGCTCACCGCAACCTCCACCTCCTGGGTTCTGGCAATTCTCCTGCCTCAGCCTCCTGAGTAGCTGGCATTACAGGCACACGCCACCATGCCCGGCTAATTTTTTGTATTTTTTAGTGGAGATGGGGTTTCACCATGTTGACCAGGATGGTCTCGATCTATTGACCTCGTGATCCACCCGCCTCAGCTTCCCAAAGTGCTGGAATTACAGGCGTGAGCCACCGCACCCAGCCAGGTGCAAGATGTTTTATAGTAACTGCAGAATGTGCGATATTTTTTGATAGTTTGGGAAACAATGCTTAAATGAGTAAACTACTTACTACCCCTGAATAGAAGACTTTTGAGTTAAAATGGTCAGTATGTAAGCATGTACCTATACCTTGAGAAAAAAAGTAAAGCTTTTACTATTTTGAATATCCTTCCTTCTCCCCAAAAAAGCCCCTATTATGTCACTCTTGCACTGTCCCTATGCACGACACCAAATCAAAGAGCCCTATAGAAAATATATTTTTAATTATATACATTATTAAGCAGTTACAGCTGTGCAGCCATCGGTTGGTCAAAAAGTGTTATTGGGCAATGCCTGCAGTTCCCTGCCTTCTGCCTGATTAGGGCAACTTATTACTTATTTCTTCATTTAGTGAACATCTCTGGAGCATACACACACATATGTCTCATATGTATATGTCTCATTCATATATATATATATATATACACACACACACACACACACACACATACACACACCAATTTAAACAGTGTAACAATTCTGTGAGGTGCTATGATCACCCTCATTTTACAGAAGGAGAAATTGAAACTAACATGTGTCCAAGGTGAACAAAAGTAGTAAGTGGTAGAGCCGAGATTTGAGCTCTGAGAGCCTTGCACCGAAGTCTACATTCTTAAGCACCATTCTGGGCTAATTTGTTCAGCATGGGTACAGCTTGCTTTGCTGCCTCATTTTCCCAAGGCAAAAGAGCCCTTGATTTGTCGACTGACACAGCACCATTTTGTTCCCGCCACTCTCACCGTGTGCTTTAGTGAGTCTGTTAACAGCTCCTCTTGATCTTACTGTTTTTTACGCTAATGTTGTGGCAATCACTACCTTTTCAAAGCTGTTGTCCCATGAGACCCATTTATATAGCAAACACTTCCCTTCTGGAGCTAGACCTAGTGTCATCAGATGCTTTTGATAGTTCCCTTCCTAGATGGCTAAAGTCTGGGAAATAACACAGTCACCCTGACCCCATGCAACTGTTCCCTGCCCTTCCTTCTCATGCATATGTAGCTGGGAATTGCTCAGACTGCAATATCAATAGGTAAGTCTCACCTGTTATATAAATTCCCAAATGCCTCATGCTGTGAGGGTGATCAGTTGAATTCAAATCAAGATTTGATCATTTTAAAATACTATTTGTAGGCCAGGCATGGTAGCTCACACCTGTAATCCCAACACTTTGAGAGCCCAAGGCGGGCAGATCACCTGGTCAAGAGATGGAAACCATCCTGGCCAACATGGTGAAACCCTTTCTCTACTAAAACTACAAAAATTAGCTGGGCATGGTGGCGTGTGCCTGTAGTTCCAGCTACTTAAGAGGCTGAGGCAGAAGAATGACTTGAACCCGGGAGGCAGAGGTTGCAGTGAACCAAGATCACACCACTGCACTCCAGCCTGGAGACAGAGTGAGACTCTATCTCAGAAAAACAAAAACAAAAACTATTTTTAAATATCCCAAGCACTTTCATCCTTAACATTGATGCATGTATTCTTTTTAAAGTAAATTATAATTTGATCAAACAATTACATTCAGAATATGAAAATATTCAAATTAACTCAGAAATACCCAGTCAAACCCAATGACTAAATGATTAATTTAAAAAAATAATTCCCTGTCCCATCTCAAACCTATTTTCTTATGGCTCATTTCTTCTCATTGGCTGTGTCATCAAAGAGCAAAGTGGAGTGAAATTTGGCAGTCAGCCAGTTAATTAAAGGCTTGGCCCAAGCGTTTGGGCCACAAAATTACTTTGTAATTCCAATTTTCTGTTTTGACTTTTTATGATTCAAATGAATGGAATAATTGCCACATTTTCACTTTACTGGGTGTTTTATAGACCAAACGGCATTATCTGCAGTAGCAAATGTCTGAACTAAAAGTTAGCATTTAAAGAAATCCATTTGGATGTTTTCAGGTTTTTACACTTTCGGATCTGAATAGGCTCAGTTAAGATGTGAACATGAGATATCTATTATTTCATGGGATTCTTCTGAAATTGATCCTCTTAAGAGCATTTATCTCAGACCCCACAGCCCCAAGGCCAGATGATTTAATACATAATAAAGGAGAGAAAAATGTGAACAGCATGACATTTTCTCAAACCACTCATGTTTTACCAAAAGAAAAGGTAGAAAAGGCATTGTAAAGTTTTCTCTATTTCTGTGTGGTAACATAGAGACGAATACTTTTCAGTCTCCAGCAGCAAAAACAGCAACCTATTAAGATCAGCACCCACACTGGTTAGCTCTGGTGAGGAGAACTTGCACTAATGAGGTCTGTCCTGGTCAGGGATTTAATGCCCATGGGATCCAATTAGCTTTACACAGGAAGAGACTCTGAGCCCAGTCAGGACATACGCTTACCCCAGCTGCTTCTGCTAATGCCCATGTTCCTTTTTACACAGGACAGCCCTGCCCGGCCTCATCATCTGACTTGGCAGCAGCCTCCTAACTGGTCTGCCTGCCTCTCTCCTAGTCAGTCATTCACGTGTACCGTAGGAGGTACACATTCTCCTCTAGGCTTCAAAGGCCATTGTTATACAGCTCACCCTTTTCTTCTGATCACTCTACTCTCCCAGGTTTCCAAACACAGACTTGGTACTCGATTTGGCTGGTGTCCTCTCTGCACCCACATGCATCAGGAAAAACAACCCAGCCCTGTGTCTGCTCCGACTGTTCCCCCAGCCTTCCTGCTCCCTGCTGTAATACCCAGTCAAGTTCTTTCTCCTTCATAACACTGCTGTCGACCATTCCAGTCTGCACTAATGGTTCCCTAAACTCCGACAATAGTCTCCTTCACATACAACATACAGTTTTGCGATGCTCCCTGTTGTCTCCACAGCATAAATCCCATCTCCATGATTATGCTGTAACTTGACTGTATGCCCTGCGGCCTGTGCTTCTCCTCCATCCCTCATGCTGGTCCAGTAAGTCTCACAAAGTTGGTGCTTAACACAAAAGTTTTGGCTAAATAATCAAAGGAGTGCTACATTAGAACAAGTAGCTCTATCCTGCTACCACACCAGAGCCACCATGGAAGAAAACTCAGAGCATCTATCACCAGCTACCCTCCTCTCAAGAGATTTTTTATTTTTTTTGTAATACAAAGAATACTATATGACCGTTCCACAAAATGAAAGCAACTCCCACAAACCTTAAAATATTCACCATTCTTAAATCTGCAATACAGTTGGTGAGCAGTACATTTTCTAGCACAGATATTTTTGGAATTATTTAATTATGCATAATAATTTCTGACCACTATTGTTTAATAAAAGAGGGCAGTGTGGAAGAATTTGCTATTGGGGAATTAAATGAGATTGTTTCTTTATTTTAAAAAATGAAAAATTTGAAATGTAGATTATTTCAGAAGTATTACACATTTATCATTGTAGACATTTTCTCAATGAAGAGTAATTCCAGTATGAATCCAAATCTATTTTAGTCAATTTGATGCAAACAATTGTCATAAAAATGGTTACTTCACAAGGAATACCATTAAAACATCACACATTTTGGAAGTTTTTCTTAAGTTTACCAATGATCACTCTGCAACTGATTTCACTGTTAAGTTGACTTAGCAACCCCTTCACCACAAAAGTTTCAGAGATAATATTCTTAGAGTCTACATTTATATGATCAAATTAATGAATCATGAGAACATATTTATTTATTTATTTTTATTTTTATTTTGAGACGCAGTCTTGCTCTGTTGCCAGGCTCCAGGCTGGAGTGCAGTGGTGCGATCTTGGCTCACTGCAACCTCTGCCTCCTGGGTTCAAGCAATTATCCTGCCTCAGCCCCCCGAGTAGCTGGGACTACAGGCGCATGCCACCATGCCCAGCTAATTTTTATATTTTAGTAGAGATGGAGTTTCACCATGTTGGCCAGGATGGTCTCGATCTCTTGACCTCGTGATCCGCCCACCTCAGCCTCCCAAAGTGCTGGGATTACAGGCGTGAGCTACCGCTGATGCTTTCCATAGTCACTATCTAGTCCTACGTAATCAAATGTTTTTGACAGATAACATTACCACAAAGCAAGATTCTTGACTTTCCAGAAAGAAATCGTTTGGTTTAATTGCTGCTTATAAAGTTGCCATTGGTGACCGGGTTATTGGTAGAATAAACTAAACATGTCTCAAAGGAAGGGGTCGTATCATTTTCAAATTTATTTGAGAAACATCTGACATCCAAAACAGTACAGAATACCTGATACATACTTGGTACTCTTAAACTGGGCAGAGCAAAGTTAAAACATAAAATTATGTTTTAGTAAAATATCTCATGGCATTAAAATCATAGCTGTATGGTGGCTGTTAACAAAGTCTGTTTGGGGAACTGAAGATGTTAGAACCAGGGAGGAAGCTGACATTAGATGTTTCTCTTCTCAGCATCTGAGTGGCAATAGATTTGAGCTCTGAGTTTCAGGTCTCCCTAAATTATCCGTGCCCAGCACTATGTAAATCTAACAGAAAAATAAAAAGTCCTATGAGTTACACATTTTAAAGGAAGCTCTTTATAGAAACCTTGAGAATGCTACTTATTTTTTTACAACAAAATCACAAAATCCTCAGCAACTGCCTCCCACCACCACTGCTTAGATGTCTTATGTTTTGGTACAGCTTCGCTGACGGCCAAAATTGCCTAGGTGGTCCTGCCTCATGCTTCCATATGGCTCTGTGCTCACTGTGTGAAATGGGCTGTGTGTATCTAGCTAAGCTCACAGAGAGCACAGACTATGTCTTGTTCATTATCATATCTCAAATGCCTGACCCAGAGTGAGGGAATGGATTCTGCTTTTGTGGTGGCAGTAAAGATATGAAGACAATCGGCCGGGTGTGGTGGCTCAAGCCTGTAATCCCAGCACTTTGGGAGGCTGAGGCGGGTGGATCACGAGGTCAGGAGATCAAGACCATCCTGGTCAACATGGTGAAACCCCGTCTCTACTAAAGATACAAAAAATTAGCTGGGCACGGTGGCGCGTGCCTGTAGTCCCAGCTACTTGGGAGGCTGAGGCAGGAGAATTGCCTGAGCCCAGGAGGCGGAGGTTGCGGTGAGCTGAGATTGCACCATTGTACTCCAGCCTGGGTAACGAGGGAAACTCCGTCTCAAAAAAAAAAAAAAAAAAAAGATATGAAGACAAATACAGTGATAACTTTTTATAGAATGGTGGCTAGTAGCCTGCCAACAAACAAGTTTTGTCTTGAATTTGCATTTTATAATAATGATAAAAAACTTTGATAATAGCCTAAGTATACGTAGACTTCCTGCAAGCAAATAATAACAAACACTCCACCAGCTATATGAACAGAGGATTTAATTAAGCAAGTCACAGAAGAGAAATTACAAATGGCACATAAACATGAATAAAAATTCTTCTACCTCAATAGTAACTTTTTAAAATTACACTTAAATAATGAGATACAATTTAGCATAAAATCTTGTATAGAGTGAAATGAACCATCACATTTACTTCAGTGAAAATTAGTCATACCTTTATACATTCATACACACATATGCACACACCCACACTTACACCTGTTCACCCAACAATTCTAACTGCAGGAAATAGAAATGTGATTGGCTATTCGTGTGCAGGGAGATTATCATCTCACCATTATGTGTCACAGCAGTGTATTTGAAGCATCTTAATATTTAATAGTAGAGGAATGGCCAAGCTAACTCATCTACATAATAGACAATATAGCTATTACACAAGCACAAGAATATGCTCACAATGAAGGTAAGGGAAAAAAGCAAGGTGTAAAACCAAATATACAGTATGCTTCCATGTATACAAAAGAAAAAACTGAATATAGAGTATGCATCTATACATACAAAAGAAAAAAACCCCGGCAACTCTCAGTCTATTCTTTGTTTCTATGAGTTTGATGTTTGTAGATTCCACGGATAAGTGAGATCAGGTACAATAGTAAAATATAGTTGAGTATCTCCTGGTACAGAGATTAGGTGTGTTGCTTCCTTTTTTTCCCCCTTTTAATATGTTTCAAGATTTTTAACAATGAACACAGAAAAAAATGTTTATAAGCCTTCTTTGAAGATTGACCATCCAGAGCTAGTACTATAAAAAATTATTTATTATACTTTAAGTTCTGGGGTACATGTGCAGAACGTGCAGGTTTGTTACATAGGTATACATGTGCCACGGTGTTTTGCTGCATCCATCCCCCCGTCATCTACTTTAGGTATTTCTCCTAATGCGACCCCTCCCCAATCTCCCCATCCCCTGCTATCCCTCCCCTAGCCCCCCACCCCCTGACAGGCCCCAGTGTGTGATGTTCCCCTCCCTCTATTCATGTGTTCTCATTGTTCAACACTCACTTGTGAGAGAGAACATGCAGTGTTTCGTTTTCTGTCCTTATGTCAGTTTGCTGAGAATGATGGTTTCCAGTTTCATCCATGTCCCTGCAAAAGACATGAACTCATCCTTTTTTTATGGCTGCATAGTATTCCATGGTGTATATGTGGCACAGAGCTAGTACTTTTAATGTGATGAACAAGAGTTCATCCTGTCCACATCCAGTATCTGGTCAGAAACTCTACAAAGGAAGGTATGACTGTCATCTTCCGTTGACCCCTTCCTCTCAAGATCTTATAAGCGCTCTCTTTACTTTTTTGTACTGGGGACTGGACTATGCTTGTGTCTATTAATGGCATGATCTTTTTCCCCCTAGCTTTACTGAGGTATAATTGACAAATGAAAGGTATATATATTTACAGTGTACATGATGTTTCGACATATGTATACAGTGCGAAATGATTACTAAAATCACGTTAATCAGTATATCCATCACCTCACATAGTTAGCATTTTCTGTGATGAGAACATTTAAGATCTCTCTTAGCAATTTTCAAGTATACCTTATTATCTGTAGCCACCATGGTGTGCAGATTTCCAAAAGTTATTCATGCTGTCCAACTGAAACTGTAGTATTTGACCAACATGTTCCCATGCTCTTTCCTTCCTAGAGCCCCTGGCAACTATCATTCTATTCTCTGTTTCTATGAATTCCATGTTTGTAGATTCCACATATAAGTGAGATCATGTAGTATTTTTGTCTTTTTGAGAGACAGAGAGAGAAATCATATTTTCTTGATCCATTCATCAGTGGACACTCAGGTTGATTCCGTATCTTAACTGCTGTGAGTAGTGCTGCACTGAGCATGGGAGTACAGCTACATCTTCAATACAGTGATTTTTTTTATATTGACTTCATTTCCTTTGGATATATACCCAGAGGTGGAATCTCTGGATCCTATGATAATTTTATTTTTAGTTTTTTGAGGAATTTTCATACTGTTTTTCCATACTGACTGTACTATTTTACATTCTCACCAACAGGGTACAGGGTTCCCTTTTCTCTGCATCCTCACCAACACTCATTATCTTTGTCTTTTGAGAAGAGCCATTCTGATAGGTGTGAGGTGATGTCTCATTGTGGTTTGGTGGGATTTTTAATTTTTTTATGTTTTTATTTTTTGAGACACGGTCTCGCTCTGTTGCTCAGGCTGGAGTGTAGTAATGAGATCATGCCTCACTGCAGCCTTGACCTCCTGGGCTCAAGTGACCCTCCTACCTCTGCCTCTCATGTAAGTGGGATGACAGGCACATGCCAGTATGCCCAGCTAATTTTTTGTCGAGATGGGATCTCACTATGTTGCCCAGGCTGGTCTGTAACTCCTGGCCTCAAGTGATCCTCCCACCTCAGCCTTCCAACGTGCTGGAGTTATAGGTGAGAGCCACTGTGCCTGGTTCATTGTGGTTTAATTTGCATTTCCCTGATAATTAGTGATATTGAGCATTTTTTTTTCATATTCCTATTGGCTATTTGCATGTCTCCTTCTAAAAAATGTCTACTCGGGCCGGGCGTGGTGGCTCACGCCTGTTATCCCAGCACTTTGGGAGGCTGAGGCGGGTGGATCACAAGGTCAGGAGATCAAGACCATCCTGGTCAACATGGTGAAACCCCGTCTCTACTAAAAATACAGAAATTAGTTGGGCATGGTGGTGCGTGCCTGTAGTCCCGGCTGCTCAGGAGGTTGAAGTAGGGGAATTGCTTGAGCCCAGGAGGTGGAGGTTGTGGTGAGCCGGGGTCGCACCATTGCACTCCAGCCTGGGTAACAGGAGCGAAACTCCGGCTCAAAAAAAAAAAAGTCTATTCAGTTCCTTTCCCCATTTTAATTGGTTTTTTTCTTGCTATTGAGCTGTTTGAGTTCCTCATATATTTTAGGTATTAACCTTTTTCAATATGTGATCTGCAAAACTGGCAAGGTCTGGAGAGTGTAACCAATGTGCTCTGCCACTTACACAGCAACCCTGATCTCCGGAGAACTGAGCCCATCTTGGAGAGCCCCTTGCAGAGGACCAGCAGTGGCAGTTCCTCCAGCTCCAGCACCCCCAGCTCCCAGCCCAGCTCCCAAGGAGGCTCCCAGCCTGGATCACAAGCAGGATCCAGTGAACGCACCAGAGTTCGAGGTAAAACTTTCTCTTACCTTTACCTGGCAATGCTGCCTGGGAGGAAAGCTGTAGACAGGGAACAAGGTTAGTTACTTCCTGACTCTGGTCCAGGCATGCCCACCACTGTGTGATCCTGAAGAGCCCCTCAACTGCTCTCAACTCGTCTCCTCTGGGGACTGAGCCACTGTCCCTAATTATGTGTGTGCCATCAGTATGGACAAAATCCTTTCTAATCTCAGACACCAGAGTTTTCCAGGGAGATCACCAAATGTCAGTCTTATTTGAAAATACAGTCACTTACCAGTCACCTGAATTTCTGTTTCCATTTGATTGCCAGTTTTCAGAGTTTCATTTGCCTGCAAATGTTCTGTATCCATTGCACCAACTGTCCTGTTTAGTATTCTGAACATAGTTCGCATACATAGTTCAGAATAACATGTATTTCTCAAAATGAAATTCAGTCAAGACTAACGTAGAATACTCTTGGAGGGAATAAAATCTTTGACTTAAAAAACATTTGATTCCTCTGGCTATTCCTATTAGGTAAAAATTAGACTCTCTAAATACATAATTCAAATTATTATTATTTGAGACAGAGTTTTGTTCTGTTGCCAGGCTGGAGTGCAGTGGCACAATCTCGGCTCACTGCAACCTCCACCTCCTGGGTTCAAGCAGTTCTCCTGCCTCAGCCTCCCAAGTAGCTGGGACTATAGGTGCACATGACCATGCCCAGCTAATTTTTTTGTATTTTAGTAGAGACAGGGTTTCACCGTGTTGGCCAGGATGATCCTGACCTCCTGACTTTGTGATCCACCCACCTCAGCCTCCCAGAGTGCTGGAATTACAGGCGTGAGTCACTGTGCCTGGCCTCAAATTATTTATCATTGCTTAGTTTCCATTAATGGGAAAGCCTATGAAAAATATTATTATTGTGCAGGAGATGATATATAATAGTACATGTTTCTAGCCAGTTAAAATTCACTCTTCCAGAATTAACTTCTTCAGAAGATAATTTTGCTTCCAAGTGATAAAGACCAGTACTTTGATTGCAATTGGAGAAATACTGACATACTTGTAAGTTTCTCTGTCTGATGAAAACCTTCAGTTATTTATTCTTTCTTAGACTCTATTACATGCCACCTCCTAATACCCTTATTTTATCTCCTAAAACCCTTTCAGGGTGTTAAATAAGTAAAGTCACTGTATTTCCATTTTGAAAAGCTTGATATCTAACATGTGATTGATGTTCACGTCTCTGAATTGGGGTACGGACTGGCCAATAGCTGCCTCTATATGCATTCTTCTGATATCGACGGCACATCTCAGAGCTGTCTACTATATACCTTTGTTGCCTTGATCCAAATATAAATTTCCTTAATTCAGAAAACCACGAGGTGTGGTGGCTTATGCCTGTAGTCCTAGGTACCCAGGAGGCTGAGGTGGAAGAATTGCTTAAACTCAGGAGTTTATGCTGCAGTGAGCTATGATGGCCCCACTGCGCTTCAGCCTGGGTGACAGAGAAAGCCCGTCTCTAAAAAACATGTAGGAAAGAAAGACAACATCCATTCTGTTACCGTTTTTCTATTTATAGGCAACTTCATATTCTTAGAGCAAATAAACCAAAGTTAAATACATCCCATTTTCATTCCCTGGTCTGATCAGGCTTACTTTTTATTGCCTTCAGCCCCTCGTTTTTCTGGATTAAAAGGGCGCTTGTATCCCCAGTATGTCCCTGTCCAAGAAAGACCACTTGAAAAAAAAATAAAACAACCTCTCCCACACTAAATTGTATCTTCTCCACCTGTAGGCTCATAGACTGCAGAGATGCCACTCGCTCTGCAGCTGTCAGGGTTCCGACCCCACTTTGTACCTCTGGTCTCGGGCCCTTCTCCTGCCCTCATCTCATTCTTTCATTTTTAAAGGGCTTAGACCACTCCCATCCCCAATTAAAAAATATTCCGCCAAATAAAACAGGTTTCTTTTTGTTTTTCCTCTCACAAAATTTCATCAAAATAACCTATCCTGATTGCACAAGTAGTAAAAGAAGAAAACAAGCATAGAGCCTTAACTTAGGTTCATTTAGCATAGTGATTGAGAATAGGACTTTCGGAAATCAGACAGAACTCCTGCTCTGCCCTATTTCAGTGTGACTTCAGGACAGCTGTGGCATCTTTGCAAGTCTGCGTTCCACTGTAAAATAGGAAAATAGTGCCACATCATTGGGTTGAAACGAGGATTAAATGAAATCATTGACATAGAAAGCATTTTCTCTGAGCCTGACACATAAGGAATGCTCAGTAAGTGGCGGTGGTGGTACTTGCTACAGGTTTGTTTTTTTAATTGTTACTAGTGACTTCCAGGTGACAAGCCTAAATGTGTTTGCCTGAATATTTATTATGTTTTTCATGGATGTGCTTGAGGATTTGCCCAAGTGAATGACGTGTTCACTGAGTAATACCAATGTGATGACTCGTCACAGATGATTCATTAAGAACTTGAGCCAGCACTTTTTGATGGCCATCTCTTTCTTGGTCCTGTGTTTTTTCCTCTAGCCAACAGTAAGTCAGAAGGATCGCCTGTTCTCCCTCATGAGCCTGCCAAGGTGAAACCGGAAGAATCCAGGGACATTACCCGGCCCAGTCGACCAGCTGTGAGTGCTTTTCTCTGCAAGAATTTTGAACTCTTAATTTACCAGAGAACCCACAGGATTAAGTAGTTGGGGATACACTCATGATATGAACAAAAATTGCTGAGATGAGTAAACATGGATGCTAGAAACATCCAGAAAAAAGTCATACCTGATTAAAAAAGAACAAAAGATATCTTGGATCGTCTCCTCTGCCTTTGGATATTTGCTGATCCTTAGCAGTCCTTTAACAATAAAACAGAAAGAGAAACAACTCATATCATTCTATAATTTCTACTCAGCAACTTTGGCAAAATGTTGAAAGGAGCAGTTAAAGAGACTTGGGCACTTTCTATGAATTTCTTTTACCTGCTCTACTCTCACCCCCTATGATTTTCCACATGAATTAATATGACAGTTTTTCTGCTATTTTTCATGCCTCCAAGACTAGGTTCTTGGGACCAAACTTGTTAAGCAGGGTCCGACAGAGGTCCTAACAACTTAATATCCGACTTCACTGCTGTAATATGATAGACCCACAAGTAGCCTTAAGGAAAGAAGTAAGAGTGTGGAGGCTGAAATTTGAAAGTTGAGAATTAATTTGGAATGAATTACCATCCACTCAGTATGTTTAAAACTGAGAATCTTCTCTGTGAAATAAACATGAAGCGCTTTGGTTTACTCTTTTTAACATCTCAAAGTAAGGACATATACTGAGAGTAATGAAGGGGTTTGCATCATTCTGGGCTGACATTCTCTTCGCCTTTTTGCGTTTATCAGTTGTGTACTAACAACTCCAATTTTGTGTCTAATCTGCTGCCTCTCTGCTGGCTTTTCATCCTTCTGTGGATTCTTCTGGATTGGGTTCCTCTCATTTCAGAGCTATAAAAAAGCTATAGATGAGGTTAGTATTACCTTTTCTTGGTCATGCCTTCACAAAATGCAAATGTTAAACTTATTTCCGGATGTTGACATTCGGAAAGGTGGCCACTGGGAGCACATATTTGAAGACCACTCATTTGCAGCAATCTGCCGGGAGGAGAGCCCCTTCAATGGAGGCCAGCTTTAAGACCCTCAGACCTCCCCATATAGCCTCAGAGACCTTTTTTCTAAGCTACAATGTCACTTTTCCAGTGTTCAGTCTGGCGAATGACAAGTATTCATGCTTTATTAATGGCAGCTTCTCCTTCCAGTCTCTTCCAATAGCAAACATGTACTTGCCAGCCTTGCTAGTGAATGGCTCTCGGCAGTTTTACTAACAAGAAAAGAGAGATCATTCTAGGGCACTCCAAATTTAGAGTGTGTGATTTGTGAACAAGGAGTCAGGTAGGTACTGTTAGATTAATTTTGTGGGACATTAACAGCAGCATCAGTAGCAACATCAGCTTTAGTTAATGAATCCTGGAGAGTTAAGTGACTTTACTTCCTTATCTGTGGAGACATTTTCCATTAGAAAAATATATGGCTTTGTCAATCGTAGGTAGCTTGCTAAGAAGGATGACTGCCTTACTGCTATTTGTCAGACCTGCATGAATACAGCAGAGTAGAATTTGTTTTTTTAAGATCCAGGCCTTGCAAAGATTCCTAAATGCATGGAATCTAAAGACTACCATCATGGCTTTAAGGCTGTAACTCCGCTGAGCACTATTTTTATGAAATTATATGGAAAAAGCACTGGCTTTGGGGTCAGCAAGCTGCATTCAAATCTTGGCTCCCCCAATAAATAAATGGCTGAGACTAGTCTCATAACCTCTCTGGGCCAGAGTTTCCTCATCTGTAAAATGAGAATAAAAACACCTCCCCATCTCACAAGATTGTTTGGGATCATTTAAGGTAATGTGTGTAAAAGCACTTTATGATGTGTAACGTGCTATAGAAAGCCAAGGGTTTGATTAAGGTTTGGGCCAGAGGCACGGAGCTATTGTGGCAGGTGGGAGAAGCATGTTTCTATTCATCTGGTCTTCACCAAAGAGCCTCACTTTTTCAGACTTATGGCCACTTCACCACCCAGTGACTGAGACAGTTATGATCATAGATGAAGGATTGTTGCTTCTAAAAGAATGAGAGACTGCATGTTTGCAGTGTTTGGATGGCATTTATAGAAATGGAAGAGGGGAGTGTTTTTAATTGCTCTGTGCCATGGTCTTGCTTGTCCCTCTACCTCATAATAGTGAGAAGTACAGGGATTATCACAACTTTTGCCACTTTGCTCCCAGAACAGGTAAAGAAAGACAATGAAGTTCTGGAGTTAAGAGTTGCCAATAAACTGGTTGTGTGTGTGCACAACTCGAGAGGAATTACATGAGTTCAGAAATTGGCTCGAGGGGCTGGCATTAAGGAAAAGGTTCTTACAGATTTCATCTAGTTAACCCAGAGTATTTTAGGCTTTGAAGAATTGCTTTATGTATTATTTCAGTGTACTGTACCACACTGGACAGAGAGGAGAGGGGGCAATGGATGTATAAGTGATTATAAATAATTGAGGGGCTGTGAGCTGCATACCACAATCTCTGGAGACGTGTGGTTAGAAAGCCCTCCAGGTGACTATCCCAATCTCTTGAGTATCACCGATCCAAACCACTGAGATAAAGTAGTTCTACCTAACCCAGTGGCTCTCAACCAGGGCTGATTCCTCCAGTCCTCCTCTCTTAGGAGACATTTGGCCAAGTCTGTAGACAGTTTTGGTTATCACAACTTCAGAGTGGGAGGCTGTGGTACTGGCATCTTGTGGATAGAGCAGAGGGGTGCTGCCAAACATCTGTGGTGTACAAGAGAACTCCCTACAACAAAGAATGATCTGACCCAAAATATCCATGGTACCATAGTTGAGAAACCTTGACTACACTTTTCTCCCTTCTCCATTCACAGGTTTTCATAGGGCTTCCCTCTCAATGAATGTTTTTGCAATTTAGATAACTGGGATTGAAATGAAAAACCTAAAAATTATTTTTGAAATAGTGCTGCTTGTTATTGCTAATTAAATGATTTAACTTTTTATAGAAATTAATTTGGGGGAGTATACATTAATTTGACATTACTTTCTAATGGAATATGAGATTTTACAGCATCGTCTAATTATTTAGTATTTGAAAATAAATATTCTTTTTGTTGGTACAATTAAATATGTGACACAAAGATTATATACATAAGAAAACACTGTTTTATCACTTTTTTATTATGTAGAAATCAAAAATTTCAGAGCACATCAATTTAGATTGGATGGATGTTGAGCAATAACTAGGGGTTCAACCCCCTTTTCCCTCAGATGAGGATACTGCAACTGAGTGGCTTGCCCAATGTCATGTCTTTAGAGTTCCTAAAAAGAAAATTAGTTTAATGCAAAGAGGAAAATAATAGCTAAAAATTTTTAAACAAGATAATAGTTCAAAAATTGAACTAATGTTTGAATAAACTATGTTGTTTCTAAAAAGGGACCTAAACGAGTGCCTTTTTAGTTAAGGTGTGCATAACTGTTAAATTAAGCTTTGTTGAAAGAAAAATTATATCTAGTTGATTCTATAAACTGTTAAAGAAGCCTCTTAGCTGTCTTCACATTTACTCTGTAGTCAAAAAAAAACTTAACATTTTGCCATATTTCTTTTTTAGCTATACATTCTTATAGCTGTTTTCATGCTAAATAGCACTTTTATCTTGTTTTTTAAAAATTTTTAGCTCCAGTCTTGAGATGGCTAAGTAATAAATTACCACAAAGGCTCATTATATGGAGAAAATTTGTACTGTCAGGGAATAAAATACATGAAAATGGAACTGAACGCAGTGGTGTCAGTATTAGATTGTGTTTATTTCCTGTAACTTTGCTATTATAAATTTTTCAACACTGGATGGATAAGAAACAAAACTTCAGCTAAATGCGTAGGTTCTTAGCAATGGAAGATTAATTTTCTTTGACTACAGGTATTACTTTTGAATGACTCATTATTTTTACTTTTTCATAGGGATTTTCATATATGTCTCACCACCAAACTGTTAATAATTAAAGGAAATTTTCAATTATTTCTCATGTTTCAGGGCAGAGAGCTTTTTAATAACACAGAAGCAAAAAATTCTAATTAAAAGCAAAATTATAAAGCAGTTCAGCACTTTAAAGTGTTTCTAAATACTATAAAAAATCAGAAAATGCATTAGAAAAATTTAGGTCATTTTAACAAGTGAAAGCTTTTTTAAAATCAGTAGGCTGTGGATTGAATATTTCTAAAATAATTTTGATTTCTTTAGAATTTCTTTTGTCTTGTTTTGAAATGTCAGCGATAAGAAGAATAAAGCTCTGGGGAAAATGTATCATTAATTAAAATAAATCATAGCCAATAGTATTATATTTTACTCAGAATTATTGACAATAGGAATAAACTCTTTTAAACCATATTCTCTCTTTAAATTATATAAAATGTAATTCTTAATAACAGTAACATTTTAAATGCTAGCTATATTCTTTGATGAGACTTACCATAGTCCTAATATATAGGCATCAAAATACAAAATAAGCTTATCTAATTTTTCACTATTTTACTGATTTGGAGGATAATATCCTTTTCTTTCACAGCTTTAACAAACATCTAGGCTTTATTTTCCCAAAATACTCAAAAATAGCATACCCTTCACTTTCTTCTTCATTTGATAGAGGTAAGCATTGACAATTGCCAGGAGGAAATAAGAAGTAAAAGTTGAAATTCACATATTAGCCTTTCCTATTTTGGTTAATTGCCAAAGGAACCAGAAATAAATTTGCATAAAATTATACCTATGTTGTGGATTCCCTCTTCTTTTTATAATACACATGATATTTAAACACAGTTGGGCCTTTTAAATACAATTCTATTTCCACTTTCACAGATGGGGCAAATACATTCACTGAGATTGAGGCATGTGCAAGTGTGCATGTGTGCAAAAGCCCTAGCAAGTGTGTTTCTGTATGTTATGCAAAGGTTGAATTTTTAGAAGCTTCCTTTTATTTAAAGGGTTCAAATCAGGTGTCATCAAAACAAATTTAAAAGTCATTTTGCTTTCCTTTTGATTTGCAGGCAATTAGAAAGAAATGACCCTTCACTTAACACTCTGAATTGTGTAGATTTCTAGACCAAGTAAAATACCTAAAGTGTTTCCTTTCCTAGTGTTAACTAGAATAGTAACGCCTGACATACACATGGCAGTAGAGAAATGTAACGTTTTGTTGTATTCTCAAAATAAAATTATAATTTATACACACTGACCACAGCTTTTCTTTTAAACAATTAGGATAGATGACCAAATAGCATTATCACCCAGGTTGCTCTAATCCTACATCAGGTGAATTGGATGCGTACATTTTTGGATTGAAATAAAGAGAGAATATGGCCATAGAAAACTGTGGGCTTTAGTATTTTTCAATGAGTTTCTTTCTCCCTAATCCCCTGTCTCTCACTGAATGCTCTGATTCCCACATGGGTCACTAATATAGGGAGAAATGGTAAGACTGATGTCAAATTGCTTTTTCCTCATTTGCATGCTGTGTGCCATGGGCAGTTTAACCCATGCAAATTAGAGCGGCCATGCTTTTGCAGAACTGCTTCCCTCTGCATTGCTTTGAAAGCATGTAAAATAAAAGGTGGTCGGATATTCAGCACACTGCCTGCAGTCTGCCTGGTGATTCAATACCACATCATCACATCCATAAGACTAAAGGTTTCATCATACTCATGGAAAACTCAAAAGTTCTCTCTTCCTTTTGGTATTTGCACATTTCATTTTAGTGTTTTCCAACAGGATTTCTACCAGATGACTAGAATTGAAAACAAAAGAAAATGAAGCACCTATTATTTTGGAAGAGAACTCTTTTTGCTGTTGTTGTTCCTCTGTGGCTGTAAATTTCAGTGGCGCTAGGCTTTAGGATGGGCCATGATTTCACGTGGTACCTCTATTCTCCAGGGAATGATGACACACCAAATGAGTCATTGTAGTAGCTGGAACCTTGGGAATTGCTCTGTTCTATGACTGATGCTAGATTTTGGTACAGTACCAATCATAAGAGGGGAAAAGCCATACTCTGGCTTGGGCAGGAGTCCCAGAATACTGGGGTACAATTTCTAATCCCATGTTTTTTTCCATTAACTCTGGGGGTGACTAGCTTCACCTTTCCAAAATAAAACAAGAACCCAATGTTGGTATATATGTGTATACACACAATGCACATACACATATGTACACATATATATTCAGAACTGAACAGTCTCAGTCTAGCTATTGGTTTTGAACAAAGTTTAAATTGATTTCATCTTTCTTTCCTAGCTTCTACACGCTACAAACATCATTTTCTTAGTTCCATGCAGTAACTATGTTTGTCACAGTTTTATATAGAGCTTTCTTTTCTTGTTGCTTAAGCTGGAGCACTGATTTGCTGAGAGATGTAGCTTTGGTCGTATCTACGATTCATATGCTGAATAAACTTTTCTTTCATAGGATCTGACGGCATTAGCCAAAGAACTAAGAGAACTCCGGATTGAAGAAACAAACCGCCCAATGAAAAAGGTGACTGATTACTCCTCCTCCAGTGAGGAGTCAGAAAGTAGTGAGGAAGAGGAGGAAGACGGAGAGAGCGAGACCCATGATGGGACAGTGGCTGTCAGCGACATACCCAGACTGATGTAAGAGGACTACTTTTATTTATTTTTGTTATTATACTTTAAGTTCTGGGGTACGTGTTTATTATATAGGTATACACGTGCCATGGTGGTTTGTTGCATCCATCCCCACATCATCTACATTACGTATTTCTCCAAATGTTATCCCTCCCCAATCCCCCCACCCCCTGATGTCCCTCCCATTGCCCCCCAGCATGCCCCAGTGTATGATGTTCCCCTCCCTGTGTCCATGTGTTCTCATTGTTCAACACCCACTTATGAGTGAGAACATGCTGTGTTTGGTTTTCTGTTCTTGTGTCAGTTTGCTGAGAATGATGGTTTCCAGCTTCATCCATGTCCCTGCAAAGGACATGAATTCATCCTTTTACTACGTTTAAAATGTAGACCAGGAGGGGACTAGGTTTCCAGAATAAAAGGACAAAAAATATGAGTTAAATGTAAGGTTGTATGTGGGTCTGTGTCAAGGTAAATTGACTTTGGGGACTTCGGTTTTTGTTGGAGCATCTTCTCTCTCTCTGGACACAGTCACTTAGAATATGTAGTATTTCTGGACTGCATACACTTTACCTATCCATTGCCAATGGATTGACTGCCCTTTTGGTGACTCTTTCTTGCTTCTTTTCATCTCAAGAGCAAACAATACTGACAGTCAGACCACTGATACCTGCCCTTCCCCTAGAACTGAAAGAATGAAATCATGGGCAATGACATTTAGGGATTAAAATTAACAACATGAAACATATAGTTTATTACCACCAATAAGTAAGGAGAAATGCACAAGCCAGCATGTGTTACCATCCTAGCAAAAGAATCAAGCGTCAAATAATCATGCAGAGAAAGTCCCAAAATATACCCCGTTATGATTTTCTACTTTATTCTCTTGATGGCTTCTTTTTCCTGATTCATTTTTCTGTGGTCTGTGTCTTTGTTGCATACTTTCTGTCAGTCTCTTTGCAGTTCTCTTTTTATGTATTTATATGTATATTTATACCTATCTATATTTTTGTTAGTAATTATAGCCTTTACTGTTTCTTTCCTTTTTTTTTTTAAGGTAAGAGAACAGCTCACTTTTTTTTCCTCATTGGCATGGACCCTGTGAAAGCACCTGTCCTTATCCCCTGTTGCTTCCCCAGTTTGTCCCCCTAATAAACACAAGGTGCCCTTGCCCTGGTCTGCTATAAATTTGATAGAATGAGAAGCTATTTTGTCCAACTTCACTCTTCAATCACCTCTATTTCTTTGGCTCAGCTACTAGTATTGATCATCAGATCACACTGACTCTATACAGAAAAGAAGCCATTTCAGGTTACAAATTATTGTCCAATTCATCACGGATTGGAGAGGCAGGGCTGGACAGTCTACAGGGAATGTTATCCGCTGATTAACCATCATTACATACAAGCAATTCTAAGAGGCAGATCTAATTATCATAGCTGAAAAATCCATACTTATTTTG